GCAGCGGATTTGTCATCCGCTTTAACTATACAACCGCGTGCTATGTCTGCCACCTAAAAAAAAACACCTCTGCTTAAAATTATACCTATTATATTACTTTAAATAGAGCAAAATACTTTCTATACAATTATTTACGTGGGTTGATAATTTGGAAAATATACCGCGAATTAAAAGTACTGCGTCATTGCTCCGAAAATAATTTTAATAAATAAAACTTCTTAATCATAAAATCGATACCTTGTAATGACTTTCAATTTAACATAAAACTAGAGTAGACTAAACGCTGGGTTTTCGTTTGGATGGCATAATTACTATAAAACAAACTTTATGAGACAAACAGACAAAAATTTCATCAAAATAGGTCCAGCTGTTTACACAGGTACAGGAGAATAATGTATATGTTCGGACACGACAATGTTTGTCGGGTCCGCTAATAATAAAAATAAAAAAATCTTGGAACCTACCGGGTCCGGTTGTAAATCTAAACCATTTAGGACCCACTCAAACACACACAAAAATTCATAAACACTATACCAATCATATAGTCCGTTTAGGAGGATATCAGTGACATGCACACGTACAGAAAATATATATATATTGGGATTTGGGGTCCACTGTAGTAATTTATATATAAACAAATAAATTATACTTATATATATATATATATATATATATATATATATATATATATATATACTTATAATATTTGAAATTAAAGTAACATTATTAGGACTTACTACCTAATGAAGCATCTTACAATATACTTATTTCAATAAAATTATTTAACAGTGATATATGTATATTATGATACCGTTTAAGTATACGTGGATATGAGGTAAAGTGGCCTGTGCCGCTTAACTCTGTAATGTAATCTGCATACCAAGTGTCTACCAATTATATTGACTCTTAGGTAATTAATTTTCCCTAGGTAATCTGCAAACTTGTAAGAATTATATTTTTTAGAACAAAATAAGATAATTTTATGATACTATTCATAAATATAGGCATATTATATTTGGCAAATGCATTGTTATACAAATGTTTTTAAAGTAAAGTAGTTTTAACGGTTAGTATGGAATATAGTCGATCTCTTGCTTTGTAAACAAATCTATATCCTACGGGAACCTTACAATTTTCGGATTATCTTCTATCGATCGAATTTCCGGAATAAAAAGCATATTATGTGCTATTCCAGAATATAATCAAATTTCATCCAGGTCCGTTCAGCCGTTCTGGCGTGATTAGTAACAAACATACATACATCCAAATTTTCGCACTTATAATATTTATGGGATTATAGGATCGTAATATTTATGGGATGAGCAAATGTCAATATTTTTCTAGCGTAATATTTTAATAATTAGAAATTCTCCACACACGTGGTAGGTACCTAGGTATGTAAAATAAATAGAATTTCATCTCGATTTACTCATATATGAAATCAACATAGTAAGTACGCCTTAGAGAATTGCAATGTTTATACAAACAAACGTAAATATAGAAAGTTTTGGGACGTAATTTTTGGCCTGAATTATTTATCGAAATAATTGTAATCTTAACAAGCAATTCTCGTATATTATATGTACATACCTTTTTTCCTCTATCTTGGAAACGACTCTAACGTTTTGGATGAAATTTTATATTTATAAGGTTTTGCTCTTTAAGTTTATATAATATATAGGTAGATGTCTTTTCCGAAAAAAAAACAAGAATGTCCAAACGCCGAGCGAAGCTCATCGTCGCCCAGGTACTTATGATAGGTACAAGTAATACGACACGTTTGGCTCAGTTTGTAGTGACCTTAGTTGTTGTGCCAGCGGTCGCGGGTTCGAGTCCCGCAGGGGGCATTCATTTGTGTGATCGGCACGAATGTTTGTACTCCAGTCTCCATGACTGGATTTGTTTATATTTATAATATGTATTAATAGTGTATCAACTATATGGTATCCATAACACAAGCCTCGTAGCTTACCATGAAACTAGATGGTGCTGTTTGTAAATTTCCCAAAAAAACAAATATAGCTTCAAATGTAACATTTAAAGTATCTTACAGAAATAACACTCACATGTATTTATTACAAACTAGAGTTCTTAGGTACCTTTAAGGAGATAAACATATCCTATTATGGACTTTTCTGTAGGCCTTTTTAAGAACTACAATTTTCTAGTACATTGTTTTCATGGATGTTTTAAGGCTTAGCCAGTCTTAGCCATGTAATTTTCTCAGATGTACCTACAGATTTCACTTTGATGCTTATATTTTATGTATACCTACGCACCATGCCTACGAAATAACTGCGTCTATTTAAAAGTTATTACGCTAAACCGATATAACCTTTATATCATTTACATGTTCATAAAACAATCTCGTGTAAGTACTCGTACAAGTTATTAAACAAGCTCTCCCTAAGTTCGCCCGCTCAGTCATCCAATTACCTTCATCAAAACTCATTTAATTTTTTGAACTTTTCAGATGGTTATCATATTAATAATGAACTAATATTGATATTTCTATTAATAGAAAACAAATTAATATTATCCAACAATTACTAATTATGTCATACACTTAGTATTCATTATGGAAATATTTCTATTATAGATAGACTTACCACTTTGAATTTTCATCCGAAAAAATGTTTTAAATTGGTATACCTACCAACTTTCTTTACTATTATCGTAATAGTATATAAGCATATAAATTTATGTATGCAATTGTGCGAGTTGATTTCTATTATTCTATAAACTAAAATGATATACAAAACATTAAATATAGGTGCGTTATTGATTTACTTAAATTACATTCATACTACATTTTCCGCTTATATCTAAATATACCATAATATATGATAGCAGTTCCAACTGATTTTCTGAATCACCATAAATATTTGACCTTTGAATACAAAATTGTAGGAACGGTACAAGCTTGAACCCACGACCATCCAGTATAATGTAGTGCGTAGTGCTTAATAAAACATACATTTTTACAATTACTTGTAATATTACTAATAAAACTATTTTGATGCTTTATATAACTTCAAACATAATAGGTACCTACTCTATACTTATCCCTTCGAACCTAATAAATAAAGGAACGACGCAAGCACATTTTTTCCATTTAGTACATTGCCAACACGTGACGCAAAACATGTGACAGCGGATTTTGTTAATTAAAAGTTAGCCGATTCAAAAATGCTGCAAATACCTTTAGAAGTTATGTGATCAGTAAAACATTATCTAGGTATATACTTATTCACTTTTTTAATTTCATTTGTTTTCTCTACAATATTTTGTCAGTAAGATTGAAGTTACTGTATGTTATTTTAATATAACTACCACCTCATAAATATAAAGAACACAGCAAAAACTGATAAAAATAAGTATCCGTCTATCTATGATACCCTTCTTTTTTTAACGTTGGGAAATGCATTTACGCACGAGGTGTGGGACTCACCGGCAAAGCAAGTACTACCCACTAAAACCCACCAAAGCCTTCCCCCGTCTTAATGGGGCGTCGCAGGATCGCTTACACATTCAACTACGACGCCCGGACGGCAGGTCTGCTAAAGCAGACCACAACAACCACGGGATTGCTCCAAGGTCTACTCTGCTATCAGAGAAGTAACAGGAGCAAGCCGCTTGGTACACCGCCCTCTAAAGAGGGCCGCCTCCCACCGCCCACCGAAGTGGGCCACCTCCCTGTGCGTTTCTTGGCTTCGCGCCCGTCTGTATTGCCGGGCACTACTGGCTGGACGGACTTGGATGAAATTTAGTATACAATTAGACCGTGATCTGGACTGTGGAGTAATAACTAAGACGTAGACAGCGCTGCCAATTGGCAACTACCCGAAATGATTTTTTTTTAATTACGCGAAAAGCAGGTAATTTTAGGCGATTTCTTGATGGCGGGTAATTTGTCGGGTATTTGCATTGAGTGGGATTAAAAGCGAGTACATATTTTAGTTTAGCTGGCAACATTATCATAATAGTAATTTAAAAAACATGCTGATTTCGATGAGCTTAAAACAGCTCACCGAAACTCATTGATCGCAGATACTGTTGTTACTATATTATAGGCCGCGCGAGAAGGTATCCGTAGAGCAGGAGGAATCGTGAAATTCCAGCCCAGTTTTTAAATGTTGCGAGCCAAATTATGGTCATCTTCTGACTAAGTTAAGCCAAGTACTATCGGAAATTGATTAATTTGATATTTTAAGTTTTTTTTATGTTTGATTCAATAATTTAAAGCTATTTTATTGAGAACTGATCACAATGACTTCTTTTTCTAACATTAGTACTTTCTTTTAATCTATTGAATCAAAACTATTTTCGGGTATTCTGCTCATGGTTGATAAACCGGGCTTGGGGGTTGCCGGTGGGATACACAAGGTATTTTGAGGTTTATTGGTCGGGTAAATCAATGACTGTTATGTGGCAGCCCTGCACATAGACTAGATATGCAACTAAGGATGCTCCCGAGCGAAGCGAGATCATTTTTAGGCAACGTTTAATTTCTAGTTAAAATAAATGCATAATAAAGGAAAAATAAACTCTAGGAATACATTATATTTTTGCTGTGATCTACTGTAATTTTAACCAATAAATAGTCTACCACAACTTGTTCTTCAACACAAGAGTTGTTTCTTTTTCTCAAACTCATTTTTCCGAAAAAAAAATTATTTTCACTATTGATATATGCAAAACGTGTAGCTAACACGTAAAAAAATAAAACCATTGATTTTGACTCATATGTGCTAAACCCAAAGCTGTAAAATACGAATACTGATTCAAACAACGACAAAAAAAGTTATTGTCCTTGAAATTTAAATTTTTATTCTGTATTCATCATTCCTACGTTAATATATGCATCTAATTTCTGTGCGTTATTTTGATTTTTTGATCTGTCGATGTCGTACTAGCCGCCTAACTCAAAAGTTTTTAAACTTTTAAAGTTTTTTACTACTCTAAATTTATGGCATAGAAAATATTTGACCTTTCTTAAAATGGGTGATGACTGTGAAAATACTCAAACTCAAACACAAAATTCACAGGTGGAATGGAGCCAAACGAATACTCCGTCTTTTATACCTAATATATGGGGTAGGCTATACTTAACCAAAGTCACCTCATCTGGAAAACATTGTTGGAGAAATATACAACACCCTGAGTATTATGGTAAGTTTGAACAATATTATATATAATAGATGCAATTCACTAAAGATGATTGATGATGAAGAATGTTTTATCATATTTTTAATGGCAGCTATTTATGATTTATTTAAAAGAATACGCTTATTTTTAGATCTAATTCAACCAGAATTCACTCTCGGAAGGGCTCTAACAAGCACTTTTGTTATGAAAACAGATATCATTAAAGAAAATATAATAAAAAATGTCAGCAAACAACATTTTGTTATAAGAAGAGACCTATCGTGAGTATACCTTTTCATATAAAATTCATATGAATACACACATTATTATTATAACACACAATTAGCATATTGTACATAAAAGGTAAGATAAAACTTTTGCAGTGAATACTTATGTTTTGAAAACTAAACAAATTGGGTGTTAAAAACTAAATAAACATTTCATAATATACATTAAAATATGCTCTGTTGTCATGTAAAATAAATAAGTAAACACAATTATTATATACTAAAACAATTTTCTTCAGCATTTTGTACCACTAAGTAAAAAAAAATTATTTGATGTTTTTTAAAGTAGGAAATAATTAAAATGATTGCAATAAATAACAACTGGTTGCAATTAATTAAATCTATTATATATGTAGTTATATAATTTCCTCTTTTACTATTAAAGGTTTTTTTTATTGTAGAGAAACCTTGAGTCCTGCTATTATTACAGACTTATCACATAATGGTACATTTATTAATGGTGAAAAAATTGGCAAAGGCAATAGTAGGGTTCTAGATGACAATGATGTAATATCTGTTACACACTGTATTGTAAAAAGTAAGTTAATAAATATTAAAACTTAAAATTTAAAATACTTCTATGTTATATTAATCTTTATAATTTTTCAGTATTTTTATTCAAAGATCTGCTGAAAAATGAACAAGATAAAGTGCCTAAAGATGTATCTCAAAAGTATTATATCTCAAGGGTGCTAGGACAAGGAGCCTGTGGAATTGTTAAACTAGTTTATAACAAAGTTAGTACCATTGTTTGAATAATATAAAGTATTTTTTTCTGCTGTTTTGATCCAAATAGACCTAATTAAATTTGCATATTATTTTCCAATTCTTATACTTTTTCCTGTATAGATATAATTGCAAGTTAAGGTAAAAATGTATTTTAATTAGTTTTGCTATTTATAACACTCAAAAAAATTTTTTTCTTCTAGATGAAATGTAGTAAACATGCCATGAAAGTTATAAAGAAAAATAGGATAAGCAATGGAGAAATAAATCATTTGAATGACCCTGCAAAGATAATGAATGAAGTTAATATTATGAAAACCCTGCGACATGTAAGAATTATTATACTAAAGATTACAAAGTTTATATTCAAAATATAACTCAAAATGATGATGAAATAAATACCTATTAAATTTTTTAATAACTTGTATTAAAGTCACTAATTTTTAATATTCTTTATAATAAAGAAACAACAGAGTTACTCACCATATATTTTTATTTTTGATGGAGTCACAATTTCTGAATGGAATGTATGAAATCAATGAGTTTTTTTAATCTTATGAATCTCTATCTAGCTGAAATGATATCCAATCTGTTGTTTTTTATTGTCACATTTCTAAGAGAGTGCTAAGTTTCATTATAATCAAGTAGTGACTTACCTTTCGCTTTACTCTGGTGCATCCCTAGGTAGGTACGTGCACATAGCATTGCAGTTTACAGTTTAATAGGAAGATCTTTTTAAGAGGAATAATTCTGTAATACACTAATTTCAATTTCTTAACTTTACGCGGCACCCGCCAATACAGCTCCCCATCGGCATGATTTTTTCCGACATTCAACAATCACCGATATATTTCAGCCAATTTACACAGATCCTTAATTATTAGAGTAAATTCTCCTTTATTAGAGTAAATTCAACTCCTTCCTTATGAATCACTCGATCTAGTGGTGAAAACCGTATGAAAATCTGGTTTTGGTTTTTGGATTAGTTTTTCAGTTTATTTCATTCAAACAGATGCAGCGGGGGACTTTATATTATAATATATAGTGATGTCGTGATTAAATAGAGCTAAAATATCTGATATTTTGTATAAGTGAGCACCATATTAAATTATTGTAAATGCAAAATTAATATAACAGTTAAATAATTTCATAACACATATATTTCAGCCTTGTATAATCTCAACAGAAGAAGTATTTGATTCTCAAAATGCAGTTTACATAGTGTTGGAACTAATGCAAGGCGGAGAGCTGTTCGATAGAATCACAAAGCAAGGAAAGTTGTCCGAGAGGCTAACTAGGTTCCTGTTTAGACAAATGGTGCTAGCTGTCAAATATCTTCATTCTCAGGGTATCACACACAGAGACCTTAAAGTAAGTCATTTTCCATTTGATATTTATATATATATATATATATATAATTATGAAAAAGATACTATAGAATATGAAAAAAGTGACTTCCATTATATTCTTCCAATCTGTCCTGCAGATTTGTTAATGTCGTACTGAAAAATATCACTTACTTATCTTTTTAGATGTTGGCAATAGACTTACAAAAAATCCTTTAAGTAAAAAAATATATTTTTATAACCATGTTTTAACAAATTTATTTTTATGTCCAGCCTGAAAATGTGCTATTAGAGAGTACAGAAGATGAAACGCTTGTGAAAATCACTGATTTTGGCCTCAGCAAGTTTGTAGGCGAAGACAGCTTTATGAAGACTATGTGCGGCACTCCCTTGTACTTAGCGCCAGAGGTGCTCATAGCTAATGGGCAGTACACCTATGGTCCCGAAGTTGATGTATGGAGTTTGGGTGTCATATTATTTGTTTGGTAAGAGCTATATTTCATTATTTATTAGTTCATGTACTTTTATTTGTGTAAATTTGAAATTATGCGCTAACATTTTTTTATAACTCTTCAGCGCTTTCTTTGATATGGATGATAACAATTTTGTGTGAATATAGTTTTCATAGAACTACTTTTTTTGCCTGTGTGCGAAACTCATGATGCGCCTCGTTTTTTGTCATAGTGTTTTGCATGAAACAATATATATTTTTTTTAATTTTCACGGAAATGTGAGATAAAAACGGTTTGCTTCCGCATGGCAATTATGCGAAAAATAAAACGTGAATTAAATTATTAACATTTTATTTTTACATTATCTTTATTTAATTATAAATGCGAAAGTTTGTATATGCGTATGTTCCTTTTGGAGCAGGTAAAACCCAGGTTCAGAGTCAGTCACTCAGTCAGAGCCTAATGAAATTGTTACCCATTCAAATGGATTTTAGAAAAACCTTGTTTCCCATTATATGTGTAACCTACCTTCAAGCAAATGGAATGTGTTATTAATTTGTAATGATAACCCTATTATAGAATTAACCCTATCATACTTTTATGTTACTACATTGTTTATAAGTCAATCTATAAAGTTAACTCAAAACTTGTTTATAAGGAGTGATAATGGAATATAATCCATATTTCCGTATTAAAACTATAAATGTGAAAGTGGTAACAGACAGACAAAAAATCTAAAAACTATAGATTCGGCCTCTGTTGTGTATGTAACGTTTGTTTCGATAAGATTTTCCAAAAAATATTTAATGTAAAGATACGGCTTTGTTACAATTTTATTATATGTATAGTTGTATGTATGTAAAGTTATAAGTGTAGTGTGTCAACTATCTGGTATCCATAACACGAGCCTCGTAGCTTACCATGGAACTTGATGGTGCTGTGTGTTAATGTCCCAACATATTTATATAGTAATGTGTGACACTACAGCCTGGTGGGGTACCTACCGTTCTCGTCGGACTACAAGGAGCGGTCGCTGCGCGCGCAGATCGTGTCGGGCGCGTACCGCATGTCGGCGTCGCACTGGCGCGGCGTGTCGGCGGCGGCGCGGCGGCTGGTGGCGCGCATGCTCGCCGTGCGCCCCGCGCAGCGCATCACGCTCGACCTCATACTGGCGCACGAGTGGATGCAGGTACACCTTGCAAGTTTTGTAAATGCCGCCCCTATATAATTTTCATTTTAAACCGTAATTCTTAGAGGTAATTTCCGTCCGTCCATCCATATGTACATACATGTGTCACAGTAATATTACTGAGACTATTGGAGCCACATAATTGCTGAAAGGTAGGTAGATATATCATGTCAATTTTTAGACAATCCTGTTATATTACGAATTATCATTCTTCGGTTATCATTCTAAAGAATTTGAGTCCATATGAGTGTTTGAGGTGTTTGTAGTTCCAAACGCCGCCACTATTTTATGCCACCTGAGGTGGCCGCCTCTTTGAATGATAGAACCGCACGGCCCTGACTTGTATTTAGCCCTTTTTAACGCGCTTTTATTAGCTTCACTTATAACTACCAATGTAATTGGATCTTTGAAGTCAATTTTAATCTACTTCTAACTGTTGTATTTGAGGCTGCATGTATACGTTGTTCGGATGATAATACAATAATTTGGTATCTTGGGAGCTGATTTGATGAATAGATGGATGAAAATGGATAGTGGAACTATTCAATGGCTTCTAGTAAAGTTTAGGCTCATTTGGTTTGTTTTCAAAAGTCCTAAGGGACTATATGTAAGCATATAGTTAAGTTATTTATTAACTTTATGTCAATTACCCTTTTAGGATTCAGACGTGATAATAAGAATTGATAAATTACTATCGAGAGCGCAGTTCATGGAAAGTCCAGACATTGTATCGAATGAATCAGTAGAAGAGAATAACAATAATAAGAAAAATGTGACCGTCCTGAAAGTGGTTGCGTCTGGGAAGAGAGCGTTGAGCGATAGTTACAATTCATGCGAGCCGGTCCCGAAGAAATTACGAGTTGATCTCGAGAGTAATGATACAAGCTCCAACAATAGTTGCTGCTTAGACGAATAAGATCTTTTCTAAAATCTTTGATAATACATTTATACCTCATTACATAGTAATCTTATGTTGAAATGACTGATATTTTTTCTTGTGTGTTGTAGATGTGGATTTTTAATGAATCGTTTAAGCTCTGCTTTCGCTTAATCGCCTTAAAATCAATACAACAGCAGAACGGCTGTGAATCTCCACAACTTATATTTTATGATTATTCATTTTAATTTGTTATTTTTAATTGAAATCTAGTTGCGATGACATGACGTGTATGTTGATTTTATTGTTGTCTTTTCATTTGATATATGATGGTTGAATTTTTAATAATTATTTTTTGTTAAAAATAACGTTTTTAAATAATTATCTGCAATGACAGCTCAATACGGTTTGTACTTTTAAATTGCTTATTTCGAAGCTATTATGATGACTAGATACTGAAAGTAAATTTTATCAGTATTACTTTAATTAGTTGATATGTGAAATTATTCTAATTGAGTACCGACTACCCACCCACCGAATGTGCCATGTTTTATCATGTTTGTATGTGATTGTGACGACAGGGTTCGTTGTACAATAAAACCTTGTTTTAAAAAATAAATTATGTATTTATTTTCAATTCCATACTCTACACGATATTTACAAACAACTCTTTATAATTATTAGGATTTATTAAACAAACAATTCAGTCTTGATTGATATTCTATACAGTTTAACTTGCAAATAAATATTATTGTAATTGACGAATTACTGGTACATTATATACATATACCTAACGATTAAATATTTATTTTATTGTAATCACTACTCGGAATTAAGGACATTGTCTACCGAACCTTTCCTGAATATTGAAGGTTTGACATTAAATAATAAACCAATGAGTAATCTAGGCCTATAGGCTACCATATTAAATATATTTTGTCAAATCAATGCGATATGATCTGTCCGTTTGTCACTTGAATCATTAGAACATAATGGTGTTCGAGCCTTTTCATTAAAAATTGATATTGTCATAATATAAAGTCTCCTTTAAGGCAAGTTTGTTAAACTGTATATGAATACATACAACAAATAATTCCGAATACCGCACTTAAGTAACTTTCCATTCAAAATTGCATTTATAAATTATAAAAAAAATGTTTATAAATGAACAACAAAATAAATCAGAATAAATAAAAATAAACCTTTGTATCTATTTCTTGTGTAACAAGTCTTGAGGTAATTTAAATAAATATGAAGCTCCCGTTACCGTTCACTAAAATAATATTACTTATGCATGATCAACTTACGACATGTAACATCAGTTAAGTAGTTAAGCTTTTTAATTTGATAAAAATTTGCAATCCTTCAATACAGGCTTACAAATATACAGATCTTTTCGAAATGTCAAGAACCAAAAATCAAAATAAATCGGCGAAAAAATCCGAAAAGACACTTTTAATTACAATATATAGATCATAATTGGTATCGCCGAACGTCTTTTGCAGTGATTCTAACAATTATTATTATTAATGCAATATGATTTATACATTATAAAATTGCTTGCATTATTTAACATTTAAAAAAATTTTAGCAAAAAGAAATTGAAATTAATATGAAATGTTAGGCACATTATGGGTCTAAGCTGGCTGCGACGACCAGTCTGCAAAATTTAGCCTACATACGAACTATCTCACTCTAACATAACCCTTACTCTTTGACCAAGTGCTGTGCATCTACGAATCAGTCTTTATTATTTCAATCAAATCTTTATGGTCTCATGTTTTGCTTAGTGTTGTAACAATGTGAATATTTACTACTACTATTCTATAGAATAATGAATAATAATACTTATTTGTTACTCACTAAATGCATGACTGTAGATAATAATAATATTATAACATCAGAGAATTAAAACGATAGTTTCAAGATTAAGACATTCGATTTAAGAAATCGTTTTCAAGTAATCGGATAATTAAGTAGGTAAATATTAACAACATTTATATGATTTGATCGAAATATTTGTATCGATAGTGAAAGTTCACACCTCTCACAGATCTATGGTATATCATACGACTGACGCAACACCACTCGTTAGTTCTATTCTCCTTCCACATTGTCTTGGGCGTTACTGTGAGATGGCTCCGCACTTTGTGCCTCTGCCTCTGTGAATAAAAATTTAAAAATAATGTAATAAAATATTTGAATATATTTAAATAGCAACTTGTTCCCCCATAATTAGTGTAAAAGCCGATGCGTGACAAAAAGCTGTTAGTTCATAACCTATATTCACTCACCAACCAATGCTAAATAACTTTCGAAGCAACTGAAACAATGTGAAGTTTCATAGTTTGTAATGTAAGCCACACTAGGGGAACTAAAGCTAGTCTACTCACTACTGTACAACTACAACATATACATTATATGACATGGAAAAAACGCTGGATATAGGAATCAGGTGCGGATCTCAAGTTAGGAGGACGTATGTGAGACATTTTATGCTAAATTCTATAATATTGTAAATTATGTAAAATCAAGACCTTTTTGAGAAAAACATTCTGTAAATGTTAAAATCAAAATATAAGTACCTATTTGCCATGATCTGCATGTTTTTCGAATTACAATTTAAGAAAAACAAATAGCTCTTTTCTGTTTGAAATATTATCTTGATAATCGATCTTATTTTATATAAATAATAATTAATTATTACAGAATGTTCGATTTATTTCCTAAAAGTAAGATAATTATAATAAATAAATTTTCAAAACATTTTATTTCTTTACGGGGAGTATGACCGTGCTAGACCCTTTGGATCCGCGCCTGATAGGAATATACGTTCAATACTAAAATATACAGTGTGTTAAAAAAACCCTGTCCGATCGGAAACCAGTGTATAGGTATCCCAATCACATGACCAAATAAAATAAGAAATATAAAATATTCATGATAGTAAACATATAAATGAAATTTAAAAAGTCCATTTATTTTGCTAATTTCCCCACAATTCTAGGAAATTTTATAAATGTACAACACTAATTTCGGCGGTATTATGTTAATCATGTGGCGGCGGCATCTTTGATGTGTGCCGACAGACGATGCGCCGCCCGTTGTCAAAGGTACCGCTCACGTGATTTCACCTGCTACTTTTCACAGGCAATGATTTTTTATTTCGACGGTCTGGTGTCACACTTTATATTATTTGCTATTAAAATGAAGTATTAGTAGGGGAGCCTAAGAGGGGATTTTCTGTAGTTACTCGAGCGCGGCAGATTAACATAAAAGAGGTTACCTTGCACTCTATTGAGTACTTTCACCATAATATAAGTCTTCTATATCGGGGCGCGTCTAGGGAAGCCGATTAAAATATTTAAAAAATGTTTTGATAAGGTAGAAATACTTGAAACCGTCAGATTAAGGTATGGTAGGCTAGTCACATCCTGAAAAGTGTCCAATTCAATAATCTGCCGATTTGCACAAGCCGAAGAGGCAAAAATCGACTATAAAGTTTATGGTGATTTGTAGCAGTCACTTTGAATTTAAGTAGCAGGTGTGACGTATGATAACGCATTTCATGTGATTTTTCACTTGCTACTCGTGAAATGTTCCATGCCTAATTTATTTCACTTAAAATTATGTCAGTTTCGCGAAACATTGCATCCGAGTGCACGTGTTGGAGAAATTGAGTTTTAACTATGTCGTATACGAATGAAGAGTGCTGTAATATGATAATGTGTTTGGGGAGGAGTGACTGCAATTATGCAGAGGCTCATAGAGACTATGAAGTGCGTTTCGCAGTTCCGCGGGGTACCACGGTGCCGTCAGAGAGTGCGGTTCAACGTTTTCACAATCGTATGTACACCACGGGCAGTGTTCACGGCTACGAAACGCATCACGCTGATACAAGGACACCGCTTATCGACATGGATATTGAAGAGCAGGTGCTTGTGTTATTTAATGAGGACCCCACCCGAAGTACTCGTTCTGTGGCACGACAATTGGGCACTAACCACGTTCAGGTGTGGGAAGTGTTAAAAGAAGAGTGCCAGCATCCTTTCCACTACCGTCGTATCCAAGCTTTACTACCCAGTGATTATGAACCTAGAGTGGAATATTGTGCATGGATTTTAAGGAAAATTAAAGAGGACGCAGAATTTTTAAAAAGGGTTATTTTCACCAATGAATGTTCTTTTCATAGAACAGGCGTCTTTAACAGCCGGAATGAATATGTGTGGTCGACGCTAAATCCTCACGCCAATAATCCGTGATAACCTTTTGCGACGGTGTCAAGCCTGTATCACTCGTGGAGGCCGTCACATGGAATAACATCTCCATCACAGCCATCGCATTGGCGTCCTCATCGAATAACAGACGACCTACTTACAAAATACAAATTATTAAGCGTAGTTTGAACTTTGAGGTCAACTGCGTTCATGACCTTATGACGTCACCAGTATTGCTATGTAAGTTTCACAATTTATGAAATATTTTAAATTTTTAAACGGGGTAATTTTTTTTTACTTGGAATCTGTTTTTTTTTACATAAATAGAATCGAATCGCGATACCTAATAATACCTTCACGGGTCGGACAGGGTTTTTTTATCACACTGTATAATTCCTACAACATATTGGTTAGTCCAACATAAATACATAATTTAAGTAGGTACAAGTAGTATATCCTATAAGATATACTTACTACTTGTACCATAAAATATACCATAAAATTGGCCACCCATAAATTACGTCACACGTTAAGGGGAGAGGGCATTGTCAACGAAGTGTGACAATGGGCAGGAGGGAGTCATAAAGTTCGTGACGTCACATATCAAAATCTAAAGTATTATAATACAAAACATTAACTGTAAATGAAAAATTCAAATAATCATCTTTCTTAACGCTATGTTCGATAATTATCATTATTGAATATTTTTGGAGCTGCTGTTTTTATTTTATTCAGTTCTGGGTGTAAAATTGCAAAACATGTGACGTAACACCATTCTCTTTCTTCTCATTCGATTCACAAATATGACTATCTGTGACAAGGAGGGGGGAAGGGTTCAAAAAAACATTAATTTCGTGTGATGTAATTTATGGTTGGTCCCTAAATAAATTAAATATATAAAATTAAAATATATTTTAATATACAACAATTAACATTAAATACTAACCCGCGATAGCTCTGTCAACTTTCATTTTATCCCTAACAATGTAAATGGATGTCAGAAGGAAGAAAATGCCGCCGATGACTTCGACGAAGCAAGTTACAAACAGAGCGTACTGCAGCGCTCTAAAAGTCGCAGTCTGAGTTGGCATTTCTCCGGCGGGTGAAAGTGATTTCTTTAAGTTTTCTGATATCTGAAAAGGTGATAAAGATAATAAATAATTCGTTTTATATTAATTAATAAATACTCGTAATTATTTCAAAATTTATGGACAAATATAATTTATATAAAATTAATATTTTATATTCTATACTAGAACTGGATAAAGTTGTAAGATCTGTCAAAATACTCGTATAAACGATTGAAGCCGCGAATTTTGGTATTAGGAATTTTGGTAGTTTGACGTATAAATGCTCGATTCTTACTTTCTAGAGAAATAGGTCAAGTGCCGAAAAGGACAGCCCATCTGCTATGTATTTATCTATATATTTTTAGTTTTATAGCTTTATAAATAAATCTTACCACTCCAACTAAATAAGGACTTCCCGCGTCCCCAAACATATGGGATATCAGAATCTGGAAAGCTTCTGCCGTCGATCTTCTAGGTGGCACAACCACATACTGAAATACAATAGAGTCAAAACTATAATAATGGTTAAATTAATAATAAAAAAAATATAAATAGATTTTTTTGTTTTTTTATAAATTGTATTTTTTTATTTGAGTCTATAAAATATATCAGCAAACGTAAAGCAAGTTTGTTTTTAGATTTTAAAAATAAGACAAAGGAAACAAAAAAAATTAAAAGCAATATTATTGACTTTATTACCTAATACTTTAAAAATATTGACTTCGAAAACAATAAAATTTATAAAACAGCGCCATCTATGCAACACTTACAAAAATAGAACAACAGTACATGAATGATACGAAATTAAATGGCATTGCATTTTGTGCATTCTCTAATAGATGTCGCTGTTTTGCAAAAAAATTGAAATCAGTCCTCATGCCTCTTATATTTAATCGAAATATTCCAATGAGAAACTTGTTCAACATATTTAACATTATTTTTTATACCATTTCCTGTACTCATAACTGACTGACTGATTTCAATTGCGTGCCTATGAAGCTACAAAATACATGATGACATGCTTAAGAATAAAAAAATGAAACCATTACTTATTTGCGCAAATTTTGAATACATTACAATTATTAATAATATTAATTATTTATGGTGTATAGATATATTGTTATTTTATTTTTTGCGTAAATAAGTATTTGTCATATTATAAGAATACCCATGCACCAAGACCCTGTGATTTAACAATATGAAGAAGCTACGATGATTACGCTTATAACATGCTATACTAAAGTATGTGTGCGTCTATGCTAATATAGTATTGATAGTCTAAATCCTAAAAACTAATGGCCTTTCCATGGAACACATCGACATTTATATTGTAATAAAAAAATCAATTCCACCAATTTGACAAGAAACAGTACAAATCATATAAACCGAACCAAGGCAACGGTGACCAGCTATCATCTTATACAATCAAAACTGACCACCGCCGGTCCAACTAAAAAAACATACTCATACACAGCAAATAAAAAAAACGTCACAAACCCTGATAGCACGCAGCCCTATAAAAAGTGTCTTACCAGCGACATATCGGCAACGATCGCCCAATTGAGATTGAGAGCTACCTCCCCAATGAACATGAGAGCGAATGGCGCGTAGAACGACTGGTCCGTAAGCAGCATCGCGAGGCCCATGGCGGGCGCGGAGGCGAGCAGGCCGGCGCCGCAGATGAGGGCGTGCGCGCGGCCCCAGCGCCGCACCAGCGCCGCGCCCAGCCACGCGCCCAGCGGCACGCCCACCAGCCCCGACAGCATCGTCAGCGCGCCGAAGATAAACGACACCCTTCGCAACATTGCACTCTCTCACTCCATCCACTATCTCCCTCTCTCTCTCTAACGTACACCCAACGTTTTTTCTATTAGCCAACTGTTATGTTATTGAGGTATGTATTTAATAGAAATTAATTAATTACACCATATTGTGTTTTAAAATTCATTTTGAAGCCCTCGCATGCCAGTCATTATGAAAACATAACATTTAGCGCAAAAAAATGTTGTAACGTTCAGTGCATTTTCTGTGTATATTCACAGAATTTTTTTGAACAACTGTCACTTAACCATATATTTTGTATATTTTAAAATATCTACATCTTTAGATTGATATAAATAATGTGACTTCAGAAATTCCATACAAAATTAAACAATTCAGTGACAGTTGCATGTTACCCCTTATGATAAAATAATTGGTAATAAATAAAACTTAACATATTATGTTCATGTCCTAAGCATGGATTTATACCAAACGTGATATTGTAGTGAAGGCTAATTTTAAACTTAAATTATGCACATAAAAAATGAGATTATAATGTCAGCACCTATGTATACAAAGTTATAAAATTTTATTTCGCATACAACACTATATTATGTATTATTTTTAGATAAAACGTAGCTATTAAAGTTTTACGTTATTTTATTTAAAAATACTTAAGTTATATGAAAAATGTTTTATTAATTTAAAAAAAGTAAAAGGCACGCCACAATTTCATAAGATGCAATAATATTTTATAATTAATCTATTCGACAAATACATTTTTTAATAAATGGTGGCGGGTGTGAATGTATACGGCGATAGTTTGTGCCGACGACATTTATAATCCCATTCTTTTTAAGCTGTATGTAAACCTATACAATATATGAAGCCAACATGATCGCATAACACGTTCAGTGTAAACCCACTATAATAGAAAAACGCTCTATGCATATCTCAAGCAATGGGCTCGCAATAAATATAGAATGATCATGCTATCGTTCGAGCACGGATGATAACTGATGGTAGCATCACAGTCAGCTCAGAGGTGAGTACTCCGGTCTAGTTCCTACTAGGTGGTAACATGGACGTTCTCATTGGAATATGTCGAGGTCGAGGTAGGGGGGAGCGGTGGGGGGGGGTCTCACCAACACGACGTCGGCTACGATGGACCAGGTGAGGTTGAGCGTGAGCATGCCGAGGAAGACGAGCAGATAGCAGAGCGCGGCCGAGCGCTGCACGGCGACGAGCGCGAGGTACACGAGCGGCGCGGACGCGAGCAGCGCCGCGCCGCAGATGAGCGGGTCGCAGTCGGAGGCGCGCGCGCGCAGCCGCTGCGCCAGCGCCGAGCCCAGCGGCACGCCCAGCGCGCCCGCCGCCATACCCACCAACCCGAACTTGAATGACACGCTGCCCCCCGACAACACATACACACTCACCATATGCTGTGGCTAATACGGTGCCATACCACCGTACACACATATCTTCCCATGTTATATTTCTAATTCTTTATTGATTTTTCAACCCCCTGTTCTCCAATCTCTCCTTATTTCAATTTTCATAATTGCCCGATAATCAAAATAAAATTTGTTTTCCCGTGTATTCCCGTGTGTTAAGTTTAATATGTGCCTATTTGTTATTATGTTAAAAAATGGACATCCAAAAAAGTACCTATACTATAATATTATTAATATTAATTACATGTAATTAAAAGACTTCGCGTTGTGAAGAAAACTTACTACACCTTAGCATGACCATGAAATATATAACGTGTAGTTTTAAATTGTTTTAAGTTGTTTAAACTTTTAATATATTATATTTCCATTATTGTGTAAATATATTATTCTTAACATTGTATTTAAATTCAGCTTTATTTTTTATTCTTACTTAGTGAGTCATATCGTCATTAAACTGCAGTTTTTAAATGATAAATCAATATCCATACCATATCAGACATACATTTCTGATCTCCCTGACTCCTCGTATATATTTCTGTTCTCTTATATTTTTCCATGACTTTTTTAATAATGTTTTAGAAAAAGTGTCAAATTGTAACACTTAAATATACTAATTTTCCTACATTGCCAACAATAATTATATTAATAAATAAAACTTTATTATACAAATTTCTATAATTAAACAACTTCTATGACGTATGATAAAAAGTTAAGTAGTAAACCTATTATATATACATTAAGGACAGACAAACAGTCACTGATTAATTACATTATAATATGTAATAGAGTTTTAGTAAGTATATTATTGACTATTGTATGAATAATGAAATATGTTAAAGAAAACTAGGCAGCTAGTGCTGCCATTTGAACCCTTAATTACAATCAAAATAATTTTGTTAAATGTATTACGTACACAACGTCAGAGTAAAAAGCGTTTAATATAAGGATTTCAGTAGAAAAAGACGCATATATCAACACAACAAATATCAAAATAACGTAGCAGTTTACTTTTTATATTATCCAAAGATCGAAAAGGATTATATAATTTTATAATTCTGCACATTAATTAATTAACTTTTGATTTAATTTTAAAGAGTAAAATATAAATTTCATATTTTACTCTTTAAAATTAAATCAAAAGCTATTTTTGCACTGACAGTGATGAATATTTTAAAACATGTGTTATTCATATCTGTATATATACGTATGTATGTGTGTATATAACTCACTTTTCGAGAGTGATGTCATTGCCTGGCTGCAGGTTGAGTCCGAGGTAGATGAACTGCGGGCCCCACCACGCGAGTGCGCCCGTCACGAACGCGACGCACGTAAACGCCAATGTCGATAGCATGAATGACGGGCTGGAAAAAATTTTTTTTTTTAATATTTAACCTTTTTTTAAGTATATTTTTTTTGTGTTTATTTTCAAAATTTTATTATTATTGCTTAATTAATTGCTGCAAAACAGATTTTTGGCAAGTCGCGTTACTTCATTTATAGAATGAAGCTAGTGATGCGAGAAGCGAGATCAGTATTTTTTTACATTAAATGATTATAAAAGTACATATTGATCGAAGTATCTGTATTAAGAGTTTCAGTTGTCAGTATTAAGAGTTTTGAAAGAAGCCACCAAGGAAATCTAACTGTCCAATCCATCTTATGTATTAATATAAAAATAACATAAATTAATACAAAAATATGTACTTACTTCCTAATAAGGGATTTTAAATCATCCTTATACGAGGTAGGTTTCATGAGGCTGTCCTCGGCCTGACCGCGCTCCGGATCTTGCATAACCCATGTTATGAGGATCACAGCCGCAACCCCTAAGAAGGGGGTAACTCGCAACCCCCAACGCCAGTTGCCCGTGACTGCACCCGCCGCCGACCCCACAATGTAGCCGAAACCGCTGAAATGATAAAAATATGTATTGTAATTCATGTTAACTGATTTAGTAATCGGAATACTATTGTAAATGACAAATTACATAGGTATATGTGCGTATGTTTGTTGCTTTTTCAAGTTCAAATAGCTTAACTAATTTGGAAGTACACAGATGGACTATGATCTGAAGTAACATTAGGCAACCGTTAAGTACCCAGGAACGTACCCGAGCGAGGCTAGGGAATGTCGCTAGTAACATAAAAACATTTAAAAATAAAAACCTAGTAACTGTCATAATTTATTTTTTTGTAAATTCAATAGCTTTGGATTATTTATCCAGTATCGGCTAAATCGATATATTTGATAGCAAGATACTTACAAATTATCTAATCAAAAAAACCATCTCTATATATGTAGGTACATATATAAAATAATAATAATAATAAATATTATAATTGTGAAAGTTTGTGAGTACGTATGGATCTTTGTTACTCCTTCACGCCAGAACGGCTGAACGGATCTGGATGAAATTTGGCACAGAGATAGATTGAAATTGGAATAACTTTATTATATTTTTATCCCGGAAAAGTATACGTTTCCCGAGGTATAGATTTGTTGTTGTTTTTCTAAAGGCGAAACCGAGCGAAGCGAGGGTGAGTCGCTATACGAACGAGAGGCGAATACTCAAAATCGAATCTAAATTGTTACGTTACAGGCGAATACTCGTCAGTCAGTGAGGCAGTACTGTAACGTAATGCTTAACATCGAATCTAGATTGTTACATTACAGGCGAATGATTTCTTTCGGTGAGGGACCGCCTTTAGCCATTAATAAACTAATACCTGGGCGAACAAGCTTCGCTCGGAGTAGACGCTCGATCAGTACATTATCCTTATCGTCCTTTGGTGACAGTGCAAGTACAACAAAAATTTAGTATAGATAGCACTATACGGCATTGTCAGCATGAGAGTAGATAAGAAGGACTATATAATTTGCTATAAAAAGGTTTTCTTTTAAATGGTTTTCTTTTTTTTAACTACACCAATATAGATAAACTTAAAAAACAAAACCTTATCTATATAGAAAATTTGATCCAAATCGTTAGGGTCGTTTCTGAGATACACGAAGTAAATATATATAATATACAAGAAATGCTCATTAAATATTAAAAGAATATATTATATTTTAGCTCACTTTGCCAAAAGCTATGCAATCTACATCTTATATACTTAATAAAAAAGAATCCAGAGCAGAGCAAAGCTGAACTCAATTTACACAGGTTAAAAAATATTAATTATATTATATCTATCATAACTACAATTCGAACGTTGCATTGATATGAAACATAGGAAGAAAATATATATCATCTGCAAAAAACGTTTCTATCAACTTTATTTCCATTATCTTGGAATTCATTAAATTATAAAGTATGCTCAGTAAAAGACAATGAGCGTAAATTTAAATTGATATAGAATTATTATAAGTTACACTTACCTACTTCTAGTAAATTGAAGTAGGTAGTAAATACAATTTAATTTAGTAAAATTAAAGTGTTTTGGACGCTTTTAAATTGGTAATATAAGAGTAAGTCAACCTATCGAACAAAATAAAATTACACGGTTGGGTAGGTTGGGCATAATGTGAAAAATTGTGCGAGGATCGTGTTACTTCGATACTAATTGCATGACATGGCTAAGGAGAAAGTTCAATCAAGGTTTGCAACTTGTACTACATATATATTAATAATAGTTTATGTGCTTCCCATATCATTTAACTTTAGCGTCGAAAACCTATTTAAAATTATGTGCCAAATATTTGCGCTTATAATTATTAGGCATATCTTTGAAGTAGCTAACAGACCCAATTTAACAGCGGAAAAATTGATTGTTATGCATATTTTGGCAACCTTTTATAATACTTCTTTGGGGTTGATTGTAAGGAATATGCTAACTTTAGCTCTTTAGGTCGGCCTTGGCGTTGACAATTCACAAGCAGTTTAAAAGATATTGATTTTTTAATTATTAAAGTATTTATAAGACCTAATCTTACTTATGAAGTCTTAATTCGGACCAATATTGTTGAGTTGTTAATAATTGTTATCAAATAATTTCACACCCAAACATAAACATTAAATCGCTAATTTATGCGTGAATTATATCATTTATGCAAGTGATTAATGAAGCTATAATTAAACTAATAAATGATAGAACACATCGTGCTCTTTCGCCTCGCTATCGATAACTCGGCAATCTGTTCGTAATATTCCACTCCAAGCGGGATGTTTTTACGTCTGTGTGTCATTATTTCATTATCGGACGACCTAAAGGGGTCTCTGTCAAGGGTTTCAGTTGAAAGCGTCATTAGTATGTATGTAGTGAAGTGTTGAAACGTCTGTTTATTGTTTTGAAACTAACATTTTCTTACGAAATTAAACGTCGACGAATTGCTTTTCGACTGATTGATTTTCGATCGATTGTATATAAAATCGATTTTGATTAATGAGGAACATTAATTTTATTATTAATGTTCCTGTTTATATAGAAGTAAATAAAGCAGATATTTACTACATATAATTTACGCAATTAAAACGACATTTACTTACTTATTTAATTTATAAATTAATGAACTCATTTGCTATGTTTAAAAATAAACTCTACAGGAAAATTTCCATTATGATTATTATAAACTATTAAAACAGTGACTAAAAACGAGTTTGAACTTATATAAGATTTAGTTCCCCACTTATCTGTCTGCTTCATCATCGTCATTACTGCAAAGCAACCTTGAAAGTTGTGATTTAAAAACAAATTTGTCTCTCACCATTATAGTATATTCATAAATCAAGAAACGACCTTTTCAATTCTGGGCGGCTGATTATTATTGATCTTTTAATTGACCTCACTTATGTCTATAACTATGTGTAGTCAAATGGTACCTAAATGCATACAATTGTATAGGTGGTTACTTCTTAATATGATTAAATGTTACAATTATTCATCTTTCGGTAATAAAGGAAAAAATTTTTTTGTTAAGTATATATTACTTATAGACTAACCTTCCAACGGGTATGGCGAAATAGAAGAACGCAAGCATTTTAGATCGAACATTTCCAACGAAGAGGTCGCTTATAAGGGTAGGAGCTATCGTTGAATAAGAAGCTTCGCCGATACCGACTAATCCGCGAAACAACGCGAATACGGCAAAATTCTGTAAAATAAAATATTTTTCACTAACTTAAAAAATATTACAACATTTTACTAATATTTTTTATAAATATACCTAAAATGTTGGGACATTAACACACAGCGCCATCTAGTTCCATGGTAAGCTACGAGGCTTATATTATGGATACCAGATATGTAGTTGATACACTACACATAATATATAACTCTAAATATACTATACATATTATAAATATAAACACCCATGACTGGAGTACAAGCAATCGTTCTCATGACACAAACGAATGCCCCCAGCGGGACTCAAACCCGCGACCACTGGCATAGCAAGTAGCGTCACTACAAACTGACCTAAACCTATCGTCAATAACTAATTAAAACGTATTAAAATTTTATTACATGGGAGGTTCAATTAAAATCAGGGAAAACCACATTACATTTCCCATCACACCACCCAGAATTATAAATAAATTCTGTAACAATATACGTATTATGTAATAAAATTGCATAATAGTTTTCAGGTGCAAACCGATTTTAACGGAACCAAACATAAAACTCTGAGCAATAGCTTCTAGAAAATAACAATATTTCAATTTTAAATTATTAGAGATAATTTTAACAACATTTAGTGTGGTACAACATACAGTCACGAGCATAAATATGGGACCATGGACAGTTAGTCAATAATATCTGATTGCTTGTTTCATTCATATTAATTTAATATCTTTTATTTATTCTTACGATGGCAGCAAATTATGTGACAATTGACATCGAAGAAAAACCAAACTATCTGATATAACTTGCAATGCAAAAATATAGGATTAATGAATTATGCAATCAGGTATTATTACCGAACTGTCCATTTTCACGAAAATGCTCGTGACTGTACATAAAGTTTTAAGTAAAAGGGCCAACATCTAAACACCTTTAAATCTAATACAATTTTCTAATTTTACCCTTAGAAATAATAGTGGTCAATGGATTTTTATTTTAAAATTTAAATAGTTTCTCCCATTCTCTTGTGGTAAATTATGTAGATTAAAAAAAAGAGACATTAATAACTTACACACAATAATACTGATACGTCAAAGAGAGAGAAAGCTTGAAGGCAATCTGTTTTTTATCTTTAAAAAAATATAAATAAGTTTTATAAATGTAGAAACTTACTGAAATAAATGAGCCTACAAAGGTGGTTATGCACCATAGCGCTACTCCTAGAGCCATGATAGTTCGTCTCGAGTAACGATCTCCCAAATAGCCGAAGATGGGTGCGAACACCATGTACGCAATAACAAAAACTGTCTGCAAGAAGCCAGCGGAGTCATCGCCGATATGGAATTCTGTCTTAACATCATCCAAAACTCCTGCAAAAATAAAAATCGTCTGATTAATTAATCTACATACCTATTAATTTTTAACTTTATTTTCGATATTTTCAATATTACCATATACATATGTTTGTAAACACAAACTTATTAAATGAATTTATTTTGTCCCTAATTTATTGAAGCAGTCGTTAGAAAACGCATCGGAATTTCTCATGCAAATAAAACATGTGCTGCCCAGTTCAAGTGTCTCTCAAGGGCTCATTTCTATTTCTTTGCTTTTAATAATTTTAAAAGACGTTCTCGTCGTCTTTCTTGTATACATTTCAGTACAGATACTTTTTTATATAACCGTTGAAACTTTATAATCGCGACGCCTACACATGTACCTATTTAATAAAGATTTTTTAAGTATAAAACAATGGTAGAGATATAAATTAAGAGAACGAAACTGAAATATAAGATAAGCATTAAGGTTAATTATATTATTACAACTCCATAGGTCTTAGCTTGAATAATACAATGTAATCTACAAGTTATTTACTTACACACGCGAGTTTTCTTCAACATAAGTGTTAGAAGCCTTTAAAATATTTTCATTTGGTACACGATACTTATAATCAATTAAACGTATAATTGAAGTGTTAAACGAAAAGCCTTACAAAATAATTTGCAACTTAGGTTACAATTTCTCAGTCATCAGCATTTGTATTGATTTTAAACTGCTGTGCAACCTTAAAAGTGACCTTGCCAGGGAGAGTGATACTCGCATAAGCGAAATAACCGGAACACAGGTCGTGTAGTCTTTTTTGCATACTCTTTTTTTACATTGTAAGCGATTTTTTTATTCTTGGAACTAATATCAAAACGAAATTCTAAGAAGATTTCATATTTTTAATTATAATTAAGAGACGAAGAAACTTAGTTAAAATTCCAATAGATAGATAGGTACTCAAGCAAATCTTTGCCTATATTACTTAACATGTGAAATAACATGAATTTCAATTTAATTAGATAAAAAATATATTATATAATAATAGTGTAATTATAATAAACATAGTGCTAGTGCAGTAGGGGTCTATCGATATGACGACCATTCAATCAAGTGTAAGTGCACTTAGTACGATGTGCATCAAAATCACATGCAAGGAAATTTGTCCAATAACAGTACTTTACTAAGTAGGTACAATAACAAATCAATACCCATAGCCGATAACAGATAACGATACGTTATCTAAATGCATTCCATAAACTACATTACCATTTGATTTAGCTTCGGCAAGTAAAAACGATATGACTCTTTCAAAATTGCAAATGTGCTACATATTTGTTCAAGCGTTGCGGCAGAAGGCAGCGGTTTACACTCCTCAGTTTGTACTGTAAACACGAGTGACAGATAACTGAAGGGCTAAATAAATAAGACCTCATAACGCTGCCATACATGCAAATCATGAACGAATTAGAGACAAATATATCAAGCATCGATGTATTATTGAAAATAATCAATATTACGATTATAATAAAACGAAATATAATTAGTTTTATTATAATACTAGCAGACCCGCGGTTTCGTTCTCGCTAAAACTAGAAAAAAAAAACTCTAAAAAAGGTAGGTACCTAGGTTTCATACAAAATGTCATCCCCTATTTTACCCCCTTATACGAGTAGGATGAATTTCTAAAAATGCTAAAACATTTATTTATTTGTATTGAATAGCATTAATTCCAAGTTTCAAGTTATTCTGATCAGAAATAAATTTTTGGATTGTATTATGATTTATAACGTATTTTCCCGTGGGAATGAGATGATCTCCCGCGACAAAATGTAGCCTATGTTACTCTCCAGCTCTACAACTATCTTCATACCAAAAATCACGCCAATCCGTCACTCCGTTTCGATTACTAACGTTAAAAGTTTGCAAGTCATTTGACAATCGCCTCAAGAACTTTAAAAATGAAATCTTAAATTAATAATAATAAATTTTATAGTTGACCTGATTTTTCAAACGTTTTGTTTGAATATAGAGTGTACGTGATGTATATAAACAAAATTACCAAGATTGCGTTAACGCTTGAACTGATATCTAATCAGTTAATATATCAATATATATTTACATTTAAATATTTAAAGAGAACAGTTTTTGCAACACAACATTTTATAAAGTAACATTCAGTTATAAAGTTTCAATACAAGTTTAAATACATAAACACAATAATACCAAATGCTTTATTTGGACACGTCTATAAATCATCTTATTCATTTTATCCCTCCTGTTTAGTGCCACCATTATTGTTAAGGCCCCAACTTTATACATTCAATAGTTTTTTGTTGTCCCTTCGTCTGTCTGATAAAATAAAACGAAAGCTTTAATCGATAATGTGAATTATTTCTATTATATAGTTAGACGAGTGCATGCGTAAAAAAATATATTATATTATACTGACGTAATTAAATACTTTTTACTATAAAGGTTGTGATATCATAATCACTTTAACGGTATTATTCCGCAATGAGGCAATATTTTTTACCTAATGGAGAAGCTTCCAACAAAAATGAAGTAAAATTTAACAAAAATGTGAAAGAATTATTAATATATCTTAACAAATGAAAAAGTTCTGAAACTTTAAAGTTGCACTTTTAAGAATAATTTCGTGACGTCACATGACCTGAACGACCCCAATTTAAATAACTTTCCCAGTAATTTATTTTAAATTTAAAAGTCACTGATTTATTAGTTTTGATATATATTGTAATTCCATTGCGTTAAATATGATATTAACAACATCATGAAACTTCTCAATTGAGTAGGTAGGTACCTCCTTTTAAAATCGGTCTTTGGAGATATAAGCCGAAGATTAATTTTATAATTTAAACTTCTAATGGAATTACCTAAAACCAAATGTACCTACTTGTACCAGAAAGTGCACCATAAAAACATTGTAATAGGTACCAATCATTTTTATAGCTTGTAATGTCATAGTGAAAGTGAAAAACTCTCGAGTAAGTAGGTACCACAATTCTCTTCCAGTAAGTGTAGATAGAAAGTTTACAAATGATGGAATTGTTAATAAGATTTATGATGGTGCTATAAACACCATTTTATTCAATTTCATAGAAAATAGATACATATAAAGCTAGCACATTTCTACATATTTTTGGCAATAACTTACATTCTTTTTGTTTATACTATGTACAGTGTACGACACATTTTATAATACAATAGTTGAGTACAATTTTTGGCATGGTTTATCTAAAAAGATCTTCTTAAAAGCATTTACTACCTTAAAAAGCTCTTCATACAAAGTCATGAAAAATATGGTATTTTTAATTTTAAAAGCTTTATAATTAAAGACATCTGTTTCATTAATTCTTATGGAATAAAGAATATAGTGTTTTTTTTTCAAAAAAAAAGGCTTTTAGTTCCATCTATCTTTAAAATAAGTATAAGATATCTAAACCTATGAAAACGATATGAAAAATCCTAGATTTCTAACCCTGACCATAAGTCTATACAAAATAGAAAGGTCAGTATCATAAAAACAACATGATATGAATAGAACGCGACAACCTATCCATATTGATGAGTCGCCGCTATCTTGCTAACTATGCAATCAGCAATGTCCTTTATTTCTTTTGAGGCTCTACGTCAGAGCGCGGCGTGAACTACGTTATATCTACGTCATCCAATATTAGAAACGTGGTCGATAACGTAGCTTGGGGGCAGCACCTTCGCCTAAAGTTGATAGAACAATCACACCCGCTCGCCCGGCGGCATCACGCCATGTGACTCGACCAATCACGAGCGCGAAATTCGTGGCACGAAACAGCGCATGAGTGACTTCATGACCAGCAAGGTTGTGCGACGCGCCGGCGCAGACATTACGTCTAAAAGATCTCTCGGTCAAAATGACGAGACTTGTAGATATTTATAACCCTTATATAATAACTGAAACTTAACTAGGTCTTGAAAAACAGGCCAGGAATTCAGCAGTTGCTATTATCGCCAATAGTATTATAAATACCTAACAATATTGGCATTAGCCGTATGTTCAAAATGTAATTCAGTTATAATACCAATAATTATAGGAATGTAAATACATTAATCTTACTTTTTTTTTATACCACTTATCATCTTACTATAAATAAACGACAAAATAATTTAAGCGCTTTAAAAATATTTGAAACACTGCACAGCAATATATTTTGATAAAAAACATTTTTTTTACTAACCTAAAAATATAAGTGTAAAGTGTACGTAAGATAATATGTAAGGAAAATATGTAAAATACTTTTGCTGTTGTTATTATTTTGCTCGCTGAGTTTTTTTCTTACCTGAATGTTTACGTATTAATATGTATATTTAGTAATAATATTTACTATTTACTTACATTGAGTCGAGTATGCGTTTTTCGCCGTGTTATCGTAGGCACTTAAATCTGAACCAATCTGCATGAAACTACATAATGTAATCATATAATTTTACTCAATATAGAGCTATAGAAAAAGAGGGAAGTGTACGCCTAATATGCATTTTATTTCCGGACGATTGTCTAGACTCTAGTAGACGTTCCATTCCATCACGCATGTTGTTAGAAAAGAACCGGCATCATTATAATATAAAACTGAAAAATAGAATAAAACCGATTTACACCGTCCTTTTTAAGCCTCATTATCTGATTTAAATATTGAAAAGAAATAAAAAATATAGAAGTACTTGAAAGTGGCTATTGTTGCAAGCTTAATACAATAGCAGCAATGTAGAGCAAAGTGAAGAAATATTTTATTTAAGAGTAAACTAAAAACTTATATTCGATCTTAAACGTAAAGCATTAATAAATATGATATTCTGATTCATGTAATGTTTGCTATGTACATACATGGCGTATCTGAAAGTAAACAGAAGACCAAAATTTGTTGATTTTATTTTTTAGCATTGAAAAATAAAACGCTGTATACTTGTATATACGATAGAAATAGTATAGTTTCAACTTACAAGTATTGAAATAAATTATTGTAAATCATGATTCAAATATTTAACA